CATAATTCATAAAAAAATCGAAGTGGAAAATTTATTTTACGACGGTATTTGAAGTCCATTAAACTTGTCGACGTTAAGATATATGCATTAGACGACGTCAATTTTTTAAATGAAGACGTATAAATTATTAAACATGACGGTCTTTTTCATGGTACCGACGTTGTATATAGACGACAACGTCGTCCTTATAAATTACTGTGTCGTAATTAATGACCCCATCATTTTTTCCACGTCGTTTATTTTCAAAATATGACGTATAAATTCTGTAATACGGCTCTCATTTATTTGGAACCGACGTTGTTTATTCATTTCAACGTCGTCTAAGTAAATACATACGTCGTAATTAATGAACCTGACATCTATTTCCACGTCATAATTCGTAGAAAAATCGAAGTGGAAAATATATTTTACGACGGTATTTGAAGTCCATTAAACTTGTCGACGTTAAGATATATGAATTAGACGACGTCAATTTTTTAAATGAAGACGTATAAATTATTAAAGACGACAGTCTTTTTAATGGTGACAACGTTGTATATAGACTACAACGTCGTCATTATAAATTACTGTGTCATAATTAATGACACCATCTTTCATCTTTTTTCACGTCGTTTATTTTCAAAATATGACGTATAAATTCTGTAATACGGCTCTCATTTATTTGGAACCGACGTTATTTATCAAATTCAATATTTGTCATCTGTTTCCTTTTTAACGACGTTTTTTTTGTTGGAGTTGGTCGTCTATTCTCATCATCGACTGTTTTTTTTATGTCTTTTTGCAGCACAAAGACGTCGGTTTTTATTTTTTGATGACGTTTTTTGTTTTAACAACGACGGTTATTCACCGTCATGGTTTTGTTATGGAAAAGATGTCGGTGGATTCCACGACCATTTGAAAACAGAATACACGACGGTGAATTCCCGTCGTGGTTTTCCTTTTTTGTAGTAGTGGTTGGTCAGCCAGAATGATTGGATGATGCCTTGACGTTCTTCCTTGCTTCCTAACCCTTTCAAATCTTGGAACCTTGAAGGATGGAGGAGGATGGGATTGTGTGGCGGCCCTCTTCTTCTCCTTTCTTTTTTCTATTTTTTCGACTCAAAAATAAGCTCTCCTTTGGCACAGAAGCCACCTTTTCTTTTCTTTTTTTTAATTTTTTTCCCAAAAAAATTTTTGTTGCTCCTTGTATTCTCCACGTTTTCGAAACCCTACATATTTTTTATTCAAACATATAAACCCATGGGAAATAGGAATATTCCTCATTGGCCCAATTGATGTGATTTGGGCCTCAAAACTTGGACTTTAGAAAAGATTGCAGATTCCCGTGCAGCCCGAACTACCTGTACTAAAACCACCATAACTTCCTCTAGAAAAATGATATTCACGAACCGTAAAATTCCCCAGAAAATGGACATCCATAACTTTCCAAGAATATGTGGCTCAGCTTCTGGTTCTTCCTGAGTCAGTACAGTATAATCCGTGAACTTGACTGATCTGCAGAGGCCTTTCAAACTCAACTTTATATTTTTAGCTCATTTTCCACCATTTGCTTGTGATTACCTAAAAAAGTAATAAAAGAATGTAAAACCTATATAAAAGAGTAAAACAAAGGTGTAGACATGGAGAAATATCATAGATAAATGTCGAATTTATGAGCACATCAAATTCCCCAAACGTAAATCTTTGCTTGTCCTCAAGCAAAACAAAGAAAAGAAAGAAAAATAAAATAAAACTAAACTAACACTATTCTTTTTTAACAACACCCATAGAGAATCACTAATGTACATGACTAAAGCAACATTTTTACAATAATATGCATAGCTCTAAAACTTTTCTCAAATGATAGCACAACTCAAATACATAACATGTGTGGAGTGTGTGATAGCCAACCATCAATATAATTCATCAAAATCAAAATAGGGCACATTCAAACTTATTTCAACTCCTCACAAGGGATGCTCTCATACTTTTCACTCACTCATATTTTATGGTTTCAAATGTTTCACTGAAGTGATCTCATGAAAACACCCCGCCATATGCTCGCTTGTCCACCAAATCTCCACTATCAATGTCACACAACTTCTTGGATCAAAGAGGTCTTTATTTAGGCCGTAATGGGGCTGAGGGTTAAGGTAAGCAAGAACTGAAAGGTATGGAAAATACAAAGTCTAAGGAACTGGGGGAAGAGGGAGGTGTCTATGGTGGTGGTCATGGGGGAAAGAGGAAGAAAAGAAATGCTAGGGGGGCGGCTATATATATTAGTCCCCTTGTATTGAGGGATCACTCAAATAATTTTATTTGAGGGACACCCTTTAGGGTCCCCTCCTAATTTTTTTTCCACCATCCAAACTATCTATTTTTAAAGTTTACATTCATAGATCATCCTTGCAAAAAATTAGACAAATCAGAAACTATTTTGACATCCAATTGTGTCCTACAAAATCAATTAACATGGTGCTTCAAGAAAGTACTAAAATTTCAATAACTCAATTAGACGTTTGGATGAAAGTTGACGGTAGGGAGAAAAGTGGGTCAGCAAACTTTAATCAAGGGATGAAAGTGGGTCATTTTGAGTTTGAGGGGGCAAAGTGGGATTTGACCGAAGTTTCAAGGGGCATTTAGTGTAATTAAGCCTAAATACATAGACATTTTTCACATTCTTTCATTCTTTTCCATGATATTGCATTAATTGAATTGAAGAGTTTGTTGGAGCAAAAGTTATTCAAGTAGCAAATAAACATTTTCAAATTGTCACATAGGCAAATAAACTTCAATTTGAAAAGTTTAATTTGTTACTACTATTAGAGATGCTTTTATGTTGATACCAAATATGAACTGGGCCTGCCAAAGAGAGCCCAATAACAAAGCATCGCCACTTAAGGAGGTAGACGATCTCAAAAGGCCAAATACAAGCCCCAAAACCTCTTATCCCAGCCTAAGGATGCCTATAGAAAAAAGAAGGTTGACGAGGCCCATCAATACCCATGTGGTCGGCCTTAAGGACAACGTGTGGACCAAATCGCCTACAACGCGGTCGGGCCTTAATTGCAATTGTAAAATATAATAGTGATTAATTTGTTTGTGAATATGCTGTGTCTTCAATTGGTGTCTTCATGAGAAAAAGAGGAGTAATGGATGAATGATGATTTTAGTTTATGGAAAATGCTAGGCATACCATATTTATTTACCACATCTTGTTCCACCTTTATAATAGGGTTTTTAGGTTGAATGGTCCGTGAACTTTTACCCAGTTCACATTTTGGTCCTTCCATTTCCAAAATCGTTCATGTGGTCCTTTAACTTCAGTCTCGTTAGGACAAATGGTCCCACTGTCAGTATTCTAAATTTTTTCATTAAATTTAGGAGTAAATAGGTCTTATCAGGTTGGTTTTATTTCCCCCATTGTGAAATTCACCTTCTCTGTGAAACAACAACCATAAAGAACCCTAAATTCCAATCCCCTTCCTCTTTATAAGCTGGTGTTTCTCATATTGGTAGAGTAAATGTTGAAATCGTCAATTTTGGAAGCTTGGAAAGCAGATTAGTTCATAGCCATCAAACAATTTTCCAATGAGAGGAAGAGGACTACCATATGAAAGGTGTTTTGTAATTGTTTTGGGTTCATCCATGATTGAACTATGTTGTGACTACTCTGGATTCTTAGGAAAAAGATTAAGTGTCTTTTGCACTTTGGGATGCCTTCTATGATTGAACCATCTTTGTCATATTTTGGGGATGTATTAAACATGTCATATGATTTCACTTTTGTAGAAAAGGCTCTATCTATGAACATTTGAAATTGTAGTGAATGCAAGTTTGATTCATCTGCATATCATTGAAGGTTGCTCTACTATTTCATGTGTGCATTTCATTGCCTTAATGTTTGAGATATATCACTTTCCGTTATTCCAACTAATATGCTCTCAAAGTTTCCAAAATTGATGATTTTAACATTTACTCAACCAATATGATAAGCACCAGCTTATAAAGAGGAAGGGGATTGCAATTTAGGGTCTTTTTAGGGCTGTTGTTTTGGAGGGAAGATGAGTTTCACAATTGGGGGAAGGGAATAAAACCAACCTGAAAAAACCCATTTACCCTTAAATTTAACGAAAAAATTGTTAGAACTAACGGTGGGACCATTTGTCCAACGAAACTGAAGTTAAAGGACCAAGGAAATGATTTTGGAAATTGAGGGACCAAAATGCGAATCAGGTCAAAGTTCATGGACCTTTCAACCAAAAAACTCAGTGTGGTAAACCTAGCATTACCCATAGTTTATATATACTAAAGAGAATGGCACATTTGATGACGATTTCTTCATCAACAAGTGAGGGAAATTAAAATTGACATGCAAATGACCCATTAGTGTAGACTGTAGTGGTTTGGAGTAATTGCTCCCTCATGCAAGCTCCTATATTCAAGTCTTAGCATCCATATTGTGTGTGAGTTTAGCATATATATATATATATATATAAAGATACTTAATGACATTATACTATACCATACCTAAGATGCTTTCAAAACATAAAGTGCACAAGTACAATTGTAATTAATTAATTGCATAGAAAATACAAGAAACTATTTTGAGCACACAATCAAACAACAATTTTCACAACATAACATAGAGAATCACTAAGACGACTTGGAAGAAAAAAGAGAAAGAACCATGGCAGTCTTGGAAGTAGATGAGGATGGAGTATCGGTTTTAAAGGAAATAGCTGCAATACCCATTGCCTTGAGAGCCTGCTCGCTCACGCGCTTGCCTGTTTTGCAATAACTGGCAAAGTTTTCGCAGTTGTTATCAAGCACGTCATAGTCACCAAACCCCTTCCCGTGAACCTCATCTTTGTTGAAAATCTTGGTGGCAAGATCTACAGTTTCCTCATTTGAATAGCAACACTCAGTACTACAAGTTCCTTTCTGTTTGAATTTGAAGTGGAGTGGAGAGACCCCGTATTCGAAGCGAAGCAGGTGGTGGTCTTTTAGGAAGCAATCGATGCAGGTTCTCAGCACTCCCCGTTTCGTGTTTGGGTCATGCCCGCACTTTCCACATGGAGACTCTCTCGATGAGCTACTAATTTTTGGATCATTTGGATCTTTTGTTGCATTGAAATGAATCACCAAACCATCCCCAACATATATACCTGCGTGCAGTGGCGGACCCAAGAATTTCTCAGAGAAGAGGCAATATTCGATTGAAGATTACTAGTAATGTTTCGTAACTTTATAATTAAAAAATACAGAGAGAGCCACATAAAAAAAAAATATATATATTATAAAAAAAACATATTATAAAAAAATAGAAATAAAAAATCAGAAGAAAAAAATATTAAAAGGAGAGAAAAAAAAAAACACAGACCTTGAGATTTGGGTCTGTTGGCTTCTTCAATTCAATTTAGGACTCTCTTTATATTAAATTATTAATAATATTGTACTTTGGCATTGGGTTTTTATCCGCAGGATATAAGGCCTTATCCTTATTTTTTTTCATTGCCTTGGTCCAAAACGAGTCGTTTTGGCCAGGGACTTTTAAAAAAAATGCATGCGGCTATGCTGCGCGCAGCAGCCCAACAACACAACACCACAGCAAACAAAAAGCAATTTCACAGAGGCATTTCTTCAAGCAGATTGTGGGCACTTCTATGGCAGAGCTGAGGGGCAAATTCCACAACCTCCATAGCTCTTTCCGGCGAGAGGAGGTGCATATGCACCTCCTTGCGCCTCTGTAGGTCCGCCTCTGCCTGCGTGCATGCATAGCACCATCCACATGCTATATTATATAATCTTATAAATACAATTTATATATAATTTTCTGTAAATAACTATCCATCTGATCGGTAACAAATAAAAATATGACTTTTAGAAAACACACACACACACACGCACATATATATCCTTTTTATTGAGGGATTTTTCAAATAATTTTATTTGAGGGAAACTATCTATGGTCCCCTACAATTTTTTTTTTCTAATGATCCAAACCATCTATTTTTTAGGTCTTCATTCATAGATCATCCTTACAAAAAATTAGATAAATCAGAAACTGTTTAGACATCTAATTGTGTTATACAAAATCAATGAACACGGTACTTCAAGAAAGTACTAACATTTCAATAACTCAATTGAGTGGTCAAATGATATCGGATTCAAATAATTTTTTTTGCAGAGATGATCTTTGAATGAATATCTACAACAAGAGTATCCCTCAAATAAGTTTATTTAATAAATCCCTCAACAGAAGCTTATCCTATACATACACACATATATATACTCACCATGGTGGGAATATGTATGCCAGTGTCTATAAGCATAGATGTGATCTCCTGGGCGGAGCTCCTCCCTAGAAATCCTGTTTGAAATAATTCCCATCTCGCTTCTTGAGACTAATCTAACACTCAACCTAAGTGTGGTTGCATGGACTTATATAGCATTATATCTGTCGAATTGTGTGGTTCATATTTAGAACTACTTTAGACTTAAAAGAAAAGTCTTACTAACCTACGATTAGAAACTGCGTTACACACCAACGTACAATTTGTCAAGACGGCTAAAGACCAAGACGCAAACAATACCATGTTGGTCAGTTAATTATTTTATTTATTTCTTTCTTTCTAATTTCTTGTATTTGGAATAAAGAGAAGGTCAAATTTGGAAATTTTGACGTTCTTTCGGACAATGAAGTTATGGAGGGGATACAAAAGTATTCTAATTGGTCAACATACCACAGCTTTACAACAAAGGGAAACTTGGTCGTTGGGGTGACTTAGCATATTTAATGCGTCATAATGGTGAATTAAGATAATTTTCCAGAGACCATGAAACCAACTCAAAAAATTGTGATAATTAATTTATGAATGATCAACAATCAAATTGTTGGTTAGAAATTAGAATACACACCTGAACACCTGTTGACTGAATTTTTTTAATCATAGATAATTATTTTTTTATTCTTTATTTTGCATAATCTTTGAGAAGAATATCATCAGAAGCCAAGAAGCTAGGGACAAGACTACATGATATGTTGCGGTGCACATCTACAAGATACCATGATATACCAATTTCGACCCATAATGTCGTTTGTCTTGCACGGAGCCGACGTCGGAAAGAAATGCTACCTGGTTGATCCTGTCATTAGTCATATGCTTGTCTCTAAGATTAAGCCATGCATGTTTAAGTATGAACTAACTCAAACTGTGAAACTGCGAATGGCTCATTAAATCAGTTATAGTTTGTTTGATGGTATCTACTACTTGGATAATCGTAGTAATTCTAGAGCTAATATGTGCAACAAACCCCGACTTCTGGACAAGATGCATTTATTAGATAAAAGGCTAACGCAGGCTCTGCCTGTTGCTCTGATGATTCATGATAACTCGACGGATCGCACAACCATTGTGTTGGCGGTACATCATTCCAATATCTGCCTTATCAACTTTCGATGGTAGGATAGTGACCTACCATGGTGGTGATGGGTGACGAAGAATTAGGGTTCGATTCCAGAGAGGGAGCCTGAGAAACGGTTACCACATTCAAGGAAGGCAGCAGGTGCACAAATTACCCAATCCTGACACGGGGATGTAGTGACAATAAATAATAATACTGGGCTCTTAGAGTCTGATAATTGGAATGAGTACAGTCTAAATCCCTTAACGGGGATCTATTGGAGGGCAAGTCTGGTGCCAGCAGCCACGGTAATTTCAACTACAATAGCGTATACTTAAATTGTTGCAGTTAAAAAGCTCGTAGTTGGACCTTGGGTTGGGTTGACCGATCCGCCTGTAGTGTTAATGGGTGGGTTACAGCGACGTTAATGGGTGGGTGAGTTTTAATTTTGGATAGAGATAGAGAAAAGGAAAGTTAATGGGTGGGTTACAGTGATGGTAATGGGTGGGTGAGTTTTAATTTTGGACAGAGATAGAGAAAAAGAAAGGTAATGGGTGGGTGAGTTTTAATTTTGGACAGAGATAGAGAAAAGGAGAGGCAAGATAGAGCACATCAAAGGGAATTTGTGTTGCAAACTGTTGAGATTGATAAAATTCCCATGTGGGAGCCATGTAGTAAATGGGGAAGCAAGTTCTGGTTTTTGGTTTGGCTTTTGGAGGAAGTTATGTTGCATTAAATGAGTGGTTGAAATTGAAGACATTTAGGTCTTTCACTTGGGTTGCCGACATTGGTATAGAGTATGAGAAAAGTCTTGCTTTTCACATTGAGCAAATGACCTATTAATATACAGCAGCTGATTCTTTAGTGTGTGGGGCTTTGAAAATAGCATAAAAATATAATATTAAAAGTATTAAAAGTAACAAAAGTTTAAGTGGCAGGGAATGGGAAGAGGAATGTAGGCACGCCAACAACAGCAAACATATTATATTATATGTAGTATTTTTTTATTTTATAAAAGTTAAGAAGGTACGGAAGAGAGGATTGGGGTGGATGTTGCAGAGAGTGAAACTATGAAAAAGAAAATGGGAGGTATTGTTTTTTGTTTTTTGTTTTTCTAATTTTCTTTTTCAAAGTGGAGGGTTGGGCTTGTTTCATTTCAAATTTTTTTAAAAGATAAATGTAGTCTCTTTACATTATAATTTTATTCTTTATAAAAAAATGATATTCTCTTTCAGATGAGACATTAACAAAAGTGCCTAAAATTATTAAATAAATAAATGATTTATGAAGCTACAATGCAATGTTTTTAAAAGCTAAAGACCAAGATGCAAACAGTACCATGTTGGTCAGGTAATTATTATTTTTATTTATTTATTTATTTCTAATTTATGACAAAATTAGAAGAAAACAAAAATATACAACCTGTCAAGATGGATTAGAAGACATAAGAGTTGACCTTATTTGTTTGACTCCCTTTTAAAAAGTTTTGCTTCAACCAATAATCTTTAAACGCATGCACATGGCTTGCTATATCTTGGCAGTTTGCACCATTGCAATAAAAAGACAATACCCCCGCAATTCAATTTTTTATTTTGTTTGTTACACCCGGAATATAATTTGAAAAAAATTAAATTGCAAGGAAGTTACTATGATATGGCAAAAGTGGCACCTTCAATTGCCAATTGTTCCACACTCGGCACTTTCAAATGCCAATTGTTCCACACTTGATTCTGCTACAGTAGATGGAACGCGTGTTTGAGTTGCCCCACTATGTATGTACACCACAACTTCCTCCAAATAACGTGTTAAAAACGCCATAATATGTTACAATAGCATTATACAAAACACCACAAACTATAACATTAAGTTTCTATTGACTTTGGCGTCAACACGAATAACAATTAACTATTATGAATTTTTTTCTTCGTTTATATATTGGTTTATATTTATATTTTATACATATATATATTTATATTTATAATTTTTTATAGGTACATTATTGGATATGTAATTTACATAATTTTTTGTTTTTTTTTTGTTTTGGCTTGCAATTTTAGGAGGCAATGAGAGGGAATGACAACCAAAAGAAATGGGGTGGTTGATATGCTATTAATAGGGAGTATTAATTACAATTATGGTAGTTAATGAAATGCTTGAAATAAATTATTAATAAAATATGAAGTTTGGTGGCAACAATGTAAAAACATAGATTGGATGGGTTACTTTTTATTGGCATTGGAAGCACATCACATTATGGCAGGGTAACGTTTCACAGTTTATATTATTCTAAAAAATCTATAATAATGAAAACAAAAGAAAGTAACCCATCCAATTAGATAAAAATAGGTATGCCTAGATACTTTACTTTTATTCTCTGTCATCATTCAAAAATTTTTTTTTTATAAAACTTTTATTAGATTAAATATTTGTTAGATTAAATAGAGTAAGGTTCTATGCTATTAGTATAGAAAAGGTTTGCATGATATCTGATCGATAGAAATATATAGTGAATAAATCCTCCTTTATCCGTTGCGGGTCGAGGACTCCTTCCCCATCTTCAAACTCCGATTCCTATTGTTCATAGAGAAATCTCTGATCAACGATAGAACAAGATCCATTTTGCATCATATCTAAGGGGTTCCTTGGTTCGGGCCGAATAAGCAAGTATTCGTAAAATATAATTATTGAAATAAATATTATTTTTTTGATATAAAATAATAGTTATATTACTTAGAGACCATATTATATAACATATAAAATCATATTAAATAATATTTTATTAAAATTATATTTATTATCTCTAAGGTTGTCATTTAATATATTACTTTTTAATAGGAATACTACGACCTCTTATATCATACTAGTCATTTAAATTTGAAATTGAGTTTTTCACATAGATTTATAGAATGATGGGTATATGTCTAGGAAATAGGAAATGTAGGGATCTATATTGGACAAGCCTAGGGAGCTTAAATTGCAAGGAAGTTATTATTATATGACAAAAGTGGCACTTTCAAATGCCAATTGTTCCACACTTGATTCTGCTACAGTAGATGGAATACGTGTTTCAGTTGCCCCACTATGTATGTACACTACAACTTCCTCTAAATAGCGTGTTAAAAACGCTATAATAGGTTAGGAAAGCATTATACAAAACACCACAAACTATAACATTAAGTTTCTATTGACTTTGGCATCAACACGAATAACAATTAACTATTATGAATTTTTTTTTCTTCGTTTATATATTGGTTTTATATTTATATTTATATTTTTTATAGGTACATTATTGGATATGTAATTTTCAAATTTTTTTTTTTTTTTGGGTTTGCAATTTTAAGGGGTGATGAGAGGGAATGACAACCAAAAGAAATGGGGTGGTTGATATGCTATCAATAGGGAGTATTAATTACAATTATGGCAGTTAATGAAATGCTTGAAATAAATTATTTATAAAATATGGAGTTTGGTGGCAACAATGTAAAAACATAGGAATACTACGACATCTTATATCATACTAGTCATTTAAATTTGAAATTGGGTTTTACACATAGATTTATAGAGTGATGGGTATATGTCTAGGAAATAGAAAATGTAGGGATCTATATTAGATAAGCCCAAGGAGCTTATTTCCCCACTCCCCTTTTGTCCACTTATACTCTCTTTTGCTTTTTAATACTTTTTAACAATTTTGTTCTTTTTCTTTCCTATTCTATCCTTACCCTACATTAATTTCTTTTTTACTTCACTTTTATATTATTTCTTTTTCTTTATACTTAATTTTCCAATTTACACTCAATTTTCAGTATTAAAGGGAAAGAAAAAAAAACTTAATTTCTCAGTTGATTAAAGGAAAAAAAATACTGAAAATGGAGTGGAAGTTGGAAAATTAAGTATAAAGAAAAAGAACTAATATCAAAGTGAAGTAAAAAGAAATTAATGTAGGGTAAGGGTAGAATAGGAAAGAGAAAGAACAAAATTGATTAAAAAGTATTAAA